ACCGGGCGGGTCATTGGAGGGCGAACACAGCCTGAAAGGAAGAAGTTGCTCTGGGAAGCGTTACTCTGCGAGGACCGGGCGGGTCATTGGAGGGCGAACCCAGCCTGAAAGGAAGAAATTGCTCTGGGAAGTGGTCAGCATACTTCCTCTTACGCGCTCCCCGTGCTGAGAGCCACAGGGGGTCGGCGGATTCATGATTGGTGTTCAGAACGGGTCCGGTGGCAGGGTTTGGACGGTTTTGGACCTGGACCGGTCGCAGGCGAATGTGCGGGCCTCCTCACAGCCCATGCAGCCGATGCTGCGCCAGGTGTGCGGAAATATGCAGAAATCAGGACATCCAGTAAGTTTGGCCTCGCTGATCCCCTCGCATTTATTGCAACGTTTTTGGATGTATCAAGCTTTGGATGTGTCAGAATGTGTCGCTTTGAGCACCCTCATACACAAAGAAGACGGCTACTTTTGGAGTTCCCATGGGAGCTTACTAATGAGGACTGTGCGTTGGTGTTGATTCTGGTGTCAGTGGGATCGACATGGAAGGCAAGAACCAAAGAACACGACAAGAAACCAACCACCTTGGAATTTCCGAGAACACAGACAAGGCAAATCTCTTTGTTTTTTTGATTTTCATCGAGAGCTTTGGTTTTCCGAGTGATTTGGTTTTCTTCGCTGTGGGCGGGGCTTCTGCCAGGTTCCAGCTCAGCCAGTGCACGCACAGGTCGGGGAGTGTCGGACTGCGAATACGCTCTGGGTTCTCATCTCTTCGAAATCCAGGCGTCCCCCACATATAGACACAGGTCAGATACACCCATCTCGATGGGTTTGTTGTGTGTGTGCGCTTCCGAGGAAAGAGGATGTGTGTTTTGTGGCATTCACGATGAACGAGGATGTGAGTTGCGCTATCAGTTTCAATCATGATTGCTTACCCAGTACCTGTGATGTGGCTTTGCTTGGAGTGTGCATGAGTATCACCGGTGCAATTCATGGTTTGGGGTATAAGACCAAGCTCGGTGTAAGCGCCACGTGCTGGTGAATGCCTGGTGACAGCGCTCCGAGTTCTCTGGCGGGCCACATCCCTATGCGCGACAGGCGTGCCGGGTCGTGGAGTCATGCCGGGAGGACAGATCATTTTTTGGCCTCACAAGAACAGTGTTTTGTAAATCTCTGTTTGGGTAAAGTTCCAGAGCTTTTGACGGAGCTCAAAAGACCATAGGCTACTTCCAGCGATTTCAGGGGTCGCACTTCACGGTGTTCTTCCAGTGATCACCGGAATTCCGAGGCCATACTCGCGCCACGGCAGGTGCTGGTCTCTGACCCTGCAGCGCGGGCAGTTTCGCCAGCAAACCACATTGTTTGCTGCCCAGCGGAGCCATTCTGGTGGGGGAGGACGGCGTCAGGCGTCGAGAGTTCAGGGAGACCTGCGATGTTCTTTGTAGCTTGGGGGCATGGGACCTGAGGCTCAGATGGCCAGAGCACCTGTCACCAGAGGCGGGGCGGAGTGGGCATCTTTTGATGGCCCTCTCCCTCCCCAGCCAGAAGCGGATTTGGATTGTTTGTGTTTTTTGAGACGTCTCGAAGATGCACAGCTTGTACTGTACACGAGACCAGAAGTGTTGGCCGAGAATAGATGAATCTCCTTCAAACATTTGCATAGAATTATATGTATATATATATATATGTACACATGTGTTGATGGAAACCCTCTTTCAAATGTTGTGTGTGGTTTCTATGACTTCCCCGATGGTGAATCGCTTCACAGCAAAACTATGTTGTAACTTTACTGTATTGGCTGTATTGGGGATTCTTTCGGGAATGGTGGATTAGAAACTGACGGAGTAGTCTTGCACTGGACAGTGGATTTGCACAATTCCAGCTCAGATAAATTGATAAGACGTGACGTGCTTCACGTGCTTCTAATCTGAAAGAAGAAACCACATGACCTTCTCCTCATCCTTGTAGATTTCTTTTGTGTTCTTTTACTTTGACAACTTGAGGGAATACTTTCTCGTGTGTTCAAAGCTCGCAGGAAAACTGAGACATGACTGGCTGTTGTAACGTCCAAAGCAATGGTTAGAAGACATGTTGCAAGAACCAGTCCTTGCAAGTCCAAAGATCCTGCAAAATGGAGCGAGGAAAAGGTCGCCCAGTTTCATTCTTCACTAGGTTTTTTGGTACCTACTACTACTACTACTACTACTGTTGGGACCCAGCAGCTATGGCCCTGAAACATCCTGAAAAGGCGTTTTGGTGGGGTGGTCAGCCAGGGATCAAAGAGAACGGCGAGCCAGGCACTGTGGGCGGCTATCCAACTAGGAAGGCTTCACCAACCAGCCCAGGCGAATCAGCAAAATGGTGAGGGAATATGGTTGGAGAGTTGGTGAGTCGAAGGAAGATGAAAATCGGATCATTTGTGGGGACCAGTTTTCATAGCCGAAAACTAGCGGAGGGGTCATGGACTTTGGACTTTCGGTAGCTTGGACTTTCAAGGTCTTCTTTTGGAAACTTTGGATGGAACCAAAAAGAGGCCTCTATCACGAGGAAGGGGATGACCTTCCAAGGAAGGGACGATCGCGTGTATGACCACAGAAATCTCACAAGGTGTGTGCAAGAGGCTCTGAGGAATCTCTAGCTACCTTGCAGCTCTCATAGATTTTGCATGATTTGATTTGATCTGGTAGTAAGCTGATAGTGGCCATTTTTGAGAAAGTCCAGTGTTCTCAGCAGCTTCTAGGCATGGGCTCGTGATCCGAGTGACTTTTTCGAGGGTAGTAAAACAATGTCCTTTGCACCTTTACGTATTTGATCGAGTTGTGGTTGTGTTGCCCAAGCCCCTTGACGTTTGGTGAATCAGATGTAATGAGACTCGCCAGGTATGTGCCAGGTCCAGATTGGCCAGGCCCCATTGCAGTCGCCCCAGAAATATGACCAATGGGGGCAAATGGCTCCTAGGTGGAGGGCTGACTTTCGCAGCTCCAGAGAGCTGCACTGAACTTGGAACCAGCGATCCAAGCGATCCAAAGGGCTTGAGGAGCGGCTCACCATGATGTCTGCATGAGTGAGTGGGCTCATTCACAATACATTATGGCAAAAGGAATCTACTACTAACGATGGGTTTCAACCTAATAGCGATGGCCTCCAACCTACTAGCTTGCAGCCTGGAGAAATGGAACTTGTGGCCTGGTGATGCGGTCCTTTTTCCTTTCAAATCCGTGGGACGGTCTAAGGGCCACCCGGGGCAGATCGCCTGCGCCTGTGATCACGCAAGGACTGGGTTCGTTCGTTATATCTGCAACTTCAAAACGAGCCATGCTGTAGAACATTCCCAACAATATGGCCAAGTGCATGAACAGCGTCCCACCCCGTTTCACTCAACATGGCTTTAGAATAGACCTAGACCCTGACCTTGAGCCTTACACCCTCCTGTCGCAAGCTGATGGGTCAGAAACAGGAATGTCGCATCGTCGGCAGCAGAGCCATGCGATTGGTGTTATCATGAATCACCCCATGACTGGAGCCTGTATTTAACACGCGCAAAATTCCTGCCAAGTCAGGCTTGGCGCATGAATTAGCTCTAGAATTCAAGCGCTTATCCATGCGACCATCAACCTACTGCTTCAATGAGTCATTCGGAGAAACATGGGCGGCTACAGTATCCGCCGCCGCCGCCCCCGTGGCTCACCGCGTGCAAGATCAATCGGGTCTTAGCTCTACTCCACTGGATGACTTGACCAGGACTGCGTGCGCCCAGTGGCCCCAGGGCAGTGCAAGCCTCAGTGCTCTCGCATGAGAAACCCTGCAAAGGGAATGACCCACATCACGATACCGTACCAGACCATTTCAAGGTAAGACCCGCCTGGAACCTGGCTTGAAGAAACTTACATACCCTGACATACCCTGACAAGTTTGATTGAAGAGGGGTGACTCCTTAGGGGGTACTGAAGTGAGTAAGGTCTAGAATGAAACCCCTTACTATACATTTATCGCATACTCAATACCGTGTCACGGCCTTTGGAGCAGGTACTGTGAGCAAACAGTGTTGCCATGATGGACAATGTAGCAGTTGCATCTGTGCTTCAGATGGAGTTGCAAAACTTAGCAGCTTAGCATGCTTTTTGATTCAAAAGCATCCAGATGTGCCACATGCAGTCTAGTGCGAACCCTCCACATCCCTACAAAACATTTTCAGTGGCGGAGTGTCGGTAGTGTTTCCTCCTTTGTCCTGGAGCGCTTCAGGCGACGCCAAGCATCGTGAAGCCGATGGTGGCCGGTGTCCACGCAGGGGTTGGAGCCTCGCATGTTGTGGGGGCATCCCTAAAACGGTCAGAGATTCCATCGCCACCAAAACCTGTAGGGTTTTCCTCCAACTGCCAATGGCGAAGCTTAGGGGTCTTCAGCCATGGCCATGGGCCATGGTCAAGACTTCGGAGCAGATGGGGGCAGGTTTGGAGCAGGTTCCGACGCAGGCGCCGGAGGAAGTTCCACAGCAGGTTCTGGGGTAGGAGCAGGTTGTGGAGCAGGTTCTGGAGCGAAATCTTGGAGCAAGTTGCAGAGGAGGTTTCGCGTAAGGTTTATACTTGATGGGTAGGTTTGGTGGGCAGGGGTGGTTGATATATATATATATACTGCAGGTGCTGGCCCAAACATCATGACTTTCCAAGTGAGCTTGCCTGGCGCCTGCGATTCTCCACCAGGTTTGGGCCTTGCAGGAGGTTCTCGAGCGAATTCCGGAGCATATTCCGAGCAGGCTCAGAAGCAGGCCCGAGCAAGTTCTGGAGGAGGAGGCTTTGGAGCAAGTTTGAGAGAAGGCTCCGCAGCAGGTTCCTTACAGTGAGCAAGTTTCCGAGCAGGTTCCGCAAGTGCGAAAAAGGTTCCGGAGCATCTGCAAGTTAGAGCAGGTCCGACAGCCAAGCAACATGTCGGCCTGACACCAGCCAGCGAACCACCAGCATGACAGCAGCATGTCTACGAAGCCGCATGACAGCATGCGCTGACAACACGCCAGCATGACACCATGTCAGCGTATCTGGTGACAACACCCCAGCATGTCAGCGTGGCAACATGTTACAGCGTGTCAGCAAGCACGGCACGTCAGAATGCCATCATGCCAACATTGTCAGAATGGCAGAGTGACAAAAACAAGGCATCAGAGTGTCAACGTGATAGCGCGCACCATGCGGTCATGGCATGGCAACATGCTAGCGTGATGACATGCCAGCCTTCACGTGTTCTCGCTCTGAGATAATGACGTCGGGTCCGACTGTCGTGCTAACATGCTGGCAGGCTCCAAAGTGGGTTCCGGAGGAGGTTCCCTTGTTCTTGGACGCCGACGCGCTGTTGTGTTGTGATGCTCACATGGAACATCGAAAAGGCTGACGTTTTTCAAAGCAGGGTTGTTTGGCGAAAGCGCAACACTTGTTGGTTGACTTCCGGCTTCGCCATTGCTGAATAAAGAGACTCACTCTCAATTGTTGGGCTGCCTCATAAGCAGGTTAATGGTTTTTCCTTATTTGCGTACTCTATGCTTGTTGGAAGTAGAGAAACTTCCCACACAAACAGGTTAGATCGTATTAGTGCAAAGCACCTGCAACTTTGCACCTGTCTTCATCGTACTGACGGAGGAAGGCGTCGCGCCGCCAGTCGTAGGCCAGGTTTGCAAACAAAAATGTTTGTTAAAGGTTGTCAAGTGGCGTCATGTTCCAAGCTCACCAGTGGGTACCTTTGGTTAGTCGAGAGGAAAAACTCCAGTTCATCCAGCCGTATGCGCCACCCTGCTCCTTCGTTTCGCCACTGGCCAGATGGTTGCTCGGCATTCATTGGGTGCCCAGATCAAGCCTGGCCTGGGCCCCAGGGTGCTCACACCAATAAACCAGAAACCGACCGTTTGCGCCTCAAGTTTGAAAAGGATCGCGGTGGCTCATTCATACAGTCTTTTTGTAATCACTGATTGATCATGATTGATCCGTTTAGCTTGGTCAATCCTAGTTTCTTTCGTTTGCATGTGGCGGGAACTTGATCTAATGTTGAAGCGATCGACGAGAAAATGAACCTGCCTTGTGATGACGGAGACTTTGCCGAGGTTTCGTCGCATGATGGATCCGACAAAATAGAACAAATGTACTGGTCACCGCAGAGTGCCTTGCCGGCAATAGAGGTGCAAATGTGGTGCGTACGCCGACTGTATGGATTTTGTGAAATGTTTGTGCGGAAGAAAGGTTTGCGTGTTTGATTTATTAGTTCGGGAATCGTTGTGGCCAGATCACAAAAAACCTTTGTTGTGGATGGCAGGGGATGATGATTCAACTTGAACTCAAAACCTGGCGTGGCCTTTTCTTTTGCTGCCACAATTCTGCACTAGGAGGGACGAGACTGACTATGGAGTACCCTGAACTTCTGGCATTTTGGCCTTCCCACTAGTTAGTTTCCACTAACAAGTCGAACACTGAAATCTTCCATTGGATACCTAAAAGTCTTTCTGGGTGTCCTGGAAAGAACCTTCACCCTTCACTTGAGGGGTAGTTCTGACGTTAGGTTTGGCTGTTCCGTAGGTTGATCTTCGAGTGCGTGAGTCCTCCTAACATTGTGGTTTGGTGAGGTAGGAGTCTTGGTGCGTGAACAGAACAATCTAATCTCGAATGCTGATTCAAACAACCCAACAGATGGACACATGTGATCCCCGCAGATCGCAAGTGCATCTTTCCCACGGGCTGCTTATTCTTGAGATTGGATTCTTGTTGAGTCTTGTGAAGGAAGACCCCATGCACCTGAGGTGCCTCGGACCTTGCAAGCTAATGAGAAGCAGCCAGTTCCGCATGTGCCACATGCCAGATCCAGTGTGAGTTGTTTTTGGCCAGGAGGTGCCTGCATCGCATTTGCTGATAGGGCATTCTGACATTCCGTTGTTTCTTTTCTGGTCTTTTCTTGTGGCTGGATCTGCCCATCCATTTCCAGCGAGCGATGGGTTTGGTTGCCTAATGTGGCAACAACAGAGTTGAGCCAAGCCGAAGTTCCAGGTGAGGGTCCGAAGTTGTCCTTCGTCCCTTTCCAGTGCGATCCCTTAGACCCACGACATATTTAGACAGACACACTGACACCGAATGCGACAATTTGCAGCTTGGATCACCCGTTGTCCAACGCTTGCTGGCACTGAACTCTGACTCATGATGCGGAAAGAACGTCGGGACTTCTTGTTTGCGTGAGGGTGAACGTTTAGGCTCTGGATTCTCGAACTTGAGAGATGATTCAGTCAAAGGAGCTGAGAACTCCAGAGAAGTCTAGAGAAAGATTTGTTCGCCGTTAGCGTTCATCAACCGTTCTAACTACTTCTTCTTCCTATGTCCGACGAACGGGTACTGTACTCATACAGTCACACCTGAGTCTTACTCTTTGAACATCAAAATACGGCTGGTGACCTGGTGCGTTCATTGAAGGCCTGTTGATGGATCTTGGGAACCTCATTTTCACATTTGATCATTTGGTGTTTCCAGAAGCGAACCCAGCAGAGGCCACAATGGCTCCGAAGGTTAATCGCTTGAACAGAATTGACATCAGCTACCTGCAGCAAACATTTTAGGTTCCCAGCATAGCCTAAGGGCGTGCCTTAGCCTGGAGGTTCATCATGTGGATGTTCTCCTGTCTGCTGCTGGGGCCAATTTTGGCACAGGGGGAGGATCCCTCAGTGGCCAATGGCGAGCTGACGCCGCCAGACCTTCCATTTCCTCCGATGCCTTCGAAGGCGGTGGTTGGACCGACTCTGGCTGATTCGGTGAATAGTTGGCCTCCGAAGAGGAAACCGCTGAAGGAAGATGCTCCCAACATTTTGCTCATCATGAATGACGATGTGGGCTACGGTGCGCCTGAGACCTTTGGTGGCCCGATCCACACTCCCACCCTGTCGAAGGTGGCGCAACATGGCGTGGGCTGGCTATATCGTTTTTGATTGTTCCAGAGTTCCCGTTGAACTTGATTGTGTTGAGTCATTGACAAATGTCCAGGTCTGGACTCCAGACTTTTTTGCGACGACGAATGACACCCTTGTTTCAAACTTGTTTCTGTGAAGAGCTTTCAGGCACAGATCACAGGTATGATTGTACAGCATATTTGCCCCATAGATTTGGGGTCTTTGGAGCCCAAATAGCTGGACTGGTGACAAACGGTTGTGAGCTGCACTCTGTACCCCGTACATTGTGCCATAAGGACATTATTGTGCGGTAACTATGGATGAGATAAGAGAAACCGTTGAAGTAGTAGCAAAGACAACGCGAGCAACAGCATCAGCAGAAGAGGCAGTAAAGAAGGCAGTTGAAGATAAGAAGACAACAGCAACTGATTGGTCGAAGCTGGTCACAAAGCTCAACATATTTGAACATAAGTCACAAGAAGGAGAGATGAAAGCGTTCAGAGAGTGGTCATGGGTTTTTGGGAAGCAGCTAAGTTCAGTGGCTGAGGCTTACATGAAGCACTTGAAAGAGACTCACGACAAGCCAAACGAGAGCTTTGACATGGACTTGGCAACTACAGAAGAGAAAACCAGGTGCATCAACCTCTATGGATTGCTAGCTTCGTTGATGAGGGGCAGAGCACCGCGACTGGTTAAAGCCGTGGAGGACCCCAATGGATTTGATGCGTGGAGGAGCTTGAGCAAAGCATGGAAACCTACTTCGAAGGCTAAGCATTCTCGATGAGCAGTGCCCCACAATCTCAACTCTTAAGCTTGAAGAGGTATATCCAAGAGACGGGCAAATCAGGGACGTGAATTTATGGTGAATTCATTGCAGTAGAAGGGGTCAATTCAAGAAGAGTTGAAATCTGGTATTCTTTTGAGATGTGTAGGTGGACAGCTCAGATCACGCTTGAATTTGACAATTGGCGACAATGTTCAGTACTCAACTTTGAGGGAACAAGTGTTGCAATGGGATCGTTCTCAGCAGAAGTGGGCTACTTCAATGGTGGCAAGTAGCAGTACAGACTATCAAGGACCCAGGCCCATGGACATTGATCGAGTTCAAGATGCCAAAGGACAGGGCAAGAAAGGTAAGAATGACTACCAGCAAGTATGCCAAAGGCAAAGGAAAGAAAGGATAAGGAAAGGAAGGTGTGGCAACATGTTACACTTGTGGGAGGCCAGGACATCTTGCTCAAGACTGGAGAAACAATATTCGACAGATTGCAAGTGCTCCAGCCCATTCGTCTTCAGGAGGAGCTTCAGTGACTACTCTGACAGTTGGCCAACAACAAGCCAATGTGAGCCGGCAGAGTAGTTCAGCGGAGACCATACCAGTTGTCAGAAGGGTTGAGAACAGTGAGCCAATCATTTTTGACCTGAGCAAGGGATGATGAAGCAGAAGATCATGGAATTCGAGTATTTCCCTTCTACATTGGACATGATGATGATGATGAGCCAGGGAAAGGAGATTGCGAAGAGGTTGAGGTTGAATGTGAGAGTCCAACCATGCGCCTCCAGTCTCGCTCCACTCCATCTTCCCTCCCCAGCCCCGTCCACGCACTCCTTCATTCCCTTGTAGCCTGTCCTGTTCAAAGGCCATGTAGACCAAGTCTGGTTACAGGGTTGTGTCGATGGTGCATGTGGTTCAAAGCTTGGATGTCTGCTCCTTCCCTTGCGGCTGCTTCAGCTTCCAAAGGGTAAGAAGACTTGGAGAGGAGAGAGATGATGTGGCCATCATTATCGACAGTGGAGCTGATGTAGCTTTATTCCTTCTGAATGTGGCAGGTCAGGGGAAGGACAGTTGGAATCAATTCAATGACTAAGCTACAAAATGGACAGGGGAATCGTAAGCTCCTTGCGTGACATCAACGGACATGAAGTTCTTCTCAAAGAGAATGTGATCATGAGTTCAACGGTAAATCAGCTCATACTTTGCTATGGAAGACTGGTGGAGCACGGTTGGGGAATCAATGGCTGAGGGCAAACATGGGAGAATGGTGACTTGAAGGTACCACTCAACATGCAAAATCGATCTTTGACAGTCCAAGGCTGCAAGCTGCTTGGAAGTGCAAGCGCCTGAAGCTTTGGAGAAAGCAGCAGGTTGGAGATTCAACGAGCATGGCTTCATTGGAAGCTTATTGACTTCAAGATTGTGGATCCCACATTCATTGCAGAAGTGGAAGATTCACCAGAGCTCATGAGAACCGCTTTGGTGAAAAGAGGAGGTTGATGGCTAACGCCTGAATATTGTGAAAACAAGAAAGAGGAACTTGACGAGCAATTCTTTGATGATGATGCAGTCATTCCTTCAATCGCAATCTTCAGCTACGAGCCAGCACCGCCAGAAAATATGGGATTCTCTGCACCGGCTTACAAGAAGCTTGAAAACAGGGATGAGAGAAACAAGGAGGTGGAGAAGGCAATCGAGGAGATTACCCGTACTCCACCCGAGAAGGCGGTAGAAGACAAGGAGAGGACGAGAACGAGGATCGAAGACTTAGAGTGTGAGTTGCAATCGAGCCCAATGGACGTAGAAAAAACCTTGGTGAATCAGGGCAGCATGCTCATTTCTCGGCGTCTCAGGTAGCGGCTCCAAGTTGAAGGTCTACGCAAGGACGCTCAATCGCAACAAGAAGATGGAACTTTTGAACGCCAAAAGCTTGGTGAGTGAAGCAATAGCTCAAGAGACAAGGGAGGCATTAGGGCAAAGTGTAGCTAAGATGCCAGATGAAGCCACTCAGGCGAGACACAGATTGACGCGTCTACCAAATGCCAACTGGTGTAAGGAGTGCATTGAGCACCGAGCGCGTCCAGATCGCCGTGTGAGAACAGATGGAACAAAGAGAGGAAGCGTCCCTGCGGTGAGCTTTGACTTTTGCTACACTAGAGCCAGAGATTCAGAAACAAAGTCAGCAAGAGCAGTATGTTGGCTAGATGCAATCGATGTCCACGTTCATTTTGTGCCATTAGGAAGCAAGAACAAATGTCGTCTCATTGTGCAAGAGTTAGTTGATGAATTTCAGCCAGTTGTTTGGGTATTCAGCAATCACCTACAGGAGGGACAACGAACCCGCGACAAGATAGACCCTCAAGATGCTGATCAACGCTCGATCAGATCATGCACTTTGGATTTGGGCAGCAAGACATGCCAGTTGGGTGCTGAATCGGTTTCAACCAGTCAAAGGGCGCCGCTCCATATGAGCTCGTCTATGGCAAGAGTTGCAAAGGACTTTTAGCTGAGTATGGTGAACCAGTTCATGGTTACATCAGAGGTCTTAACAAAGGAGAAGCACGATGGCGTCTATGTGCTTATTCTAGGGAAAAGTGGAGAGGCAAGATACCCATGTCTTGACAGATGGCGCGCAAGTAATTTAGAGCAATCGCACCAGGGGAACAGATCAAAATTGGTCCAAGTACCTGGCAACTTACAAAAGCTCCAATGCCTACTCATGGGAGTACCAGACAAACTTGGGAAGCAGAATCATTGCCGCAAAGAGAAGAGCAGAAGCGTTGCCAGTAGCGTAGACAGACATTCCTCGAGAGCGTGTGATGTTGAAGTTCAGAGATGAAGACGCGCAAGCTGTCATGGCAAAAGCGCGTTTTCCTTGATGCCAATATGAGCAGCGCTTTCTACCCAACCAAAGCTCGCTACTTCATCGCCTTCCAAACAGCCTTTCGGAAATGGCTCCGCGCCCCAGGATTTCCACCATCCCTTGATCAGCATATCGAGCCTTTCCTCCAACACCAATGGCGTCTTCGTGTCGCTCACCTCAAACAACAGCCACGTTTTACTGCCAGGCTCCTTCGTCAGCTTCAACAATTCCTCGGTGCCAAGGTCGTTCTTCACCATGCAGATCATGAGCTTCAGCAGCTCCGCGTTTTCTGCCCACAACAATACTTTAAGGGAGCTCTCAACACCTGGCAAGCGCCCGAACTTTTCCAACCACTGCCCCACCTGACCTACACCACACCCAGGACCACATCACTGCTACGGTCCCCACTACCCTTCGATCCCGTTACAAGTGGGGGTTCCGAAAAGACTTCGCAATCCCCTACGGCGTTGTCTCACTTGCAGGCAACCTCCTCCGCATCACTAGCAGAGCCCTTGACATCATCCTCCAACGCCTTTTCCCTCAGCATCCGGGCCAGCTTTCCATCCCACAACTATGGCACCACTTCCACGCATATCTCTCCCACACTCCTGCCGACATTACCCTCCGCGCCACCAATCTTCTTCAATCCTGTCCCCCAACACCGTTTGATCGATGCAGTCCACTCCCTTGTCCAGGAACGGCAGACCCAACACTCCACCCACACTCTCACTGTGGACACCCAAGCCAGCCCTTCCCGGAACCAATACCGTTTCCAGCCCCGCTGGAAATTCCGGGAGAAGCAATGAAAAGAGATGGAAATGAAACTAGAAAGCCAAGTGGAGAAGAAACACCAAGTAAGAAGCAGAAGACACTTGAAAAGGTGAAAGCATTCCCATCTACATCATTGCCAGCAGGCCAACCCAATCCAGCTACTCCTATACTATCTCCACTGAGGTCACCGTCAGCGCCTTCGGGGCCAAGCGAAGCAATTGAATTGGGACTAGGGTAAATTGCAACAGTAATCAGGGTATTTCCAGACAGTTATGTTGTATGGTGTTTTTCCAAGCTGTGACCGGTGTTTTTTGCGTCAGTGACCGCCACCCGGTGTTTTTTGCGACGGTTGCCCGGTGTTTTTTGCAACGGTTGACCGGTGTTTTCTGCGACAGCTTGTTTGACCGGTGTTTTCTGCGACAGCTTCTTTCCGTCGCCGTATGCAAGAGCTGATGCGAGCGCTGCTTTGGGGAGGGCACAGCGCCTCTCCCCCGAAGCCGCAAGCAGGCTCACCGCATCTCACAAGTCGAGCTTCCTTCTCAGCATGGACATCTAGCAGTTTTCCAATGCCTGCTACAACCAAGATGTCTACGGCGCGACAACAGA